TGGGCAGTTCCCCAAATTAGGGTCCCTTTCTATTCCCCCTAAATAATAACCCCTAAATATTCGGTGCCGTAATGAAATCCCTAAACTCTAAACCCTATAATCTATAACCAAAAGGTAAACTCTAAACCCTATAATCTATAACCACAAAGCCCCCCACAATTTTGAGAACAATCCATGTGCCACTCATCTCCCGGTTCCACCTCCAGCCCTGCCCGCTCCTTCCAGCAGCAGGTGGCCACCTGTTCCCATGGTTTAGGGTTTAGGGTTTATGGTTTAGGGTTCCCATGGTTTAGGGTTTAGGGTTCAGGGTTTAGGGTTTGGAATGCACATAGGCGTTTATTGGGAGATATATGGCTCCACAGGCTCATATCGAAGAATCACTTTCGAAGACCCAACCCGCTTGAGAAGCAATCTTCTCCCGCAGTCTGCCTGCGTTTGCTGCTCCCATGGTGGGCTGAAGCCTCAGTGCCACGTGGAGGGCCCTTCTGACCTTAAGTCTTCAATCCAATATTCCTGAACGCTAAACAATACCTGGACCCCCAAAGTATGTAGAATAATGGCCCTTTGGGCTATATGGGGATTTGGGCCATTATTTGACCTACTTTGGGGGTCTAGGTAAAGCCTCAACTCGGTATCGTAAGCCCATACTAAACCTGCTAGCCGGATTCACATGCAAAAAATGCACGGCCTCCTCACAACCCACTGCAATCCTGACTACAGCCACCAAAGCCATACCCAAAGGCCCAAAGCACCTGAAACTGCCAAATCCCAAAGCCCAAGAGCTGGAACTGGGCCCCGACATCGCCCACGTCCGCGCTTGTTTGCTCAGAAGCGCATCCCGTGAAGGCCACCACTTCACCCTCAGCTAGTGCTGAAGCCCACGCTTACGCTGGCGGTTGACGCCATATTAAAGAATGGTTCCGCTGCAGATGTTCATAGGTTTCCTAGGCTTCCAAGAGATTGGATGAAATTGTTTTATTAGATCTAATTTTCTCTCGTAACGGCTAATACATCGAGCCTAGGGTTGTCCTTCACTACTGCATCCTATCCCTTGACGGGCAAGACACTTCTGGAACTGGGACCTGTCGTTGAGACATCATGCCTTGCATAAATAAGGAATTTCGGTCTTTCTGAAAATGACTGATGTGATGTCTTTTTGCACAGCATAGCCTCCTAAATTTGCCTCATACTCTGTACAGGATCATTAAAGTCCTAAGCGTCCCCTGACCCCGTGAAACTGCTACGTTTCTAAGTCAGGTCTGAGAAGTTTCAGTCGGATTTTGCCATGTCGCAACCGCTACACCGGCGTTCTCCACTTCATCAGTGCGGAAGCCTTCCTGCGTTTGGCCAGGAGGATTGTGCTTCCAGGTCTGAATACAAAAAGATGGTCGTGGGATCCAGGATGTCTAGGCCTCGAATCTCAGAGCCAACGGCCAGGGTTTGAGATTCAATGCCCGTCTGCGGCGCCCGCGGATGGATGGGAGGGGCAGAAGTAAGATCCGGGATATCATGGTTAAGTCCATAACAAACCGCAACAATAAGAATACAGAACAAAAGTGATAACAAAATGACAATAGTAGTAATAATAATAATAAAGATGTCCTAGGGTCCTTCTCATCTACTTGGGATGTACTGCGGGACCCTTCCTTGAAGAACATCATCAAGCAAGGTCAGAGGATCCCAGAAGAGGCTCCTGTGCCTTGGGAGCTCCTAAGGTCTCACAGAGCCCAATGTCTGTCTGCGGTAACCATATATTACCCCCATCTGAAAAACCCCCATCTGAAAAACCTTGCCGTTCTTAAGCGAACCCTGGGCTATGTAAGTCCTATCCAGGCCTTCAAACTATGCGAGTAGAGGGGAATGTATATGAATATCCTGCATGGGTCCTTAAACAAGAAGATTCCCGTTAAATCTGTAAGTTTAAGGGGGGCCTCCTGCAGCCTCTTGTTCTGACCTCATGCTAGGCCGGCAGCATCCTCCTTGAACCCCCCACATATTTCTAGGGTTCGGTGGGGTCCCTATGTTCAAAAACCCCAAATGCTGAGACTCAACACAGCAAGCAGGCTCCTCGTTTGCTTCGCGGGTCTCGCGGTACCTCTTGCAAATTGTCGCAACGGGTGGTGAAATGCAGTGCTTAGAGAAGGGCCTAAACCCTAAATTGCAAACTATTTATCCTAAACCCTCTGCCTTACACCGTTAGCTTTGTGGGTTTAGGGTTAGGCCTTTGGGAACCAAGAGGATGTTTTCGGATGATGAGACTACAGGCGTCCCTCTGCAGACGTATGTGAGCCATAGGTTTTAGTCATGGTCTTCCCACCGATCTTCTTAAGGAACCAAATATAGTCATAGACTCAGAGCCTAGACAGTGCCTCGATTTCTTTGAGAAACATCAACTTTGTGTTGAACAGCCCAAGAAGACTAGGTTAAACGCCTTCTTCCTCCTCGGACTGCATGTGGGCAACCAAGGAGAAAGATATATGAAACTTCTCATCTGGCTCTAAACCCTAAGTCGCCTCTCCAACCCCTGATCGGAGGGCCTAACCCCTTTTGGAATCGCCAACTGGAACTAGACGGAGGAAATCACTCAACGGAGGCCCAATTGAGCACACTTGAAATGAAACTAAGACATCTGGAGTAAGGGATGTTAGGGCTTCGTGAGTCTTAATCAAGGAAAGCTGCTTGCCCCACAGGCCCCAAAGGTCCATGCCCATGGCAGCGACGTCAGACAACAGCATTGCAGGGTCGTCATCGTCCCGCCAGACCTGGGTCAAGTTTGAGGTGATTGTCATACAGTTGGCACTGAAACTCCTGTACTTTACTCTACGAGAAAACACAACTCCCAAAGTGCCACGTACCTCATGCAGGATTTTGAAGATTAACAGTAAGGTTGGGAGCCTTGTTCTAGCCTCTTTTGCGGCTGATTCAGGTTTTGACTTGGACCCCTTCCTCCAAAAAAGGGCACCTGCCAGGAATCAACAAGTCAAACGACTTGAGGTCAGAACCAGGGGCTTGTATGGTAGTTTCCCATAAACAGGGGAACCCTATATGGGAACCTCCAATATGGCATCCCTAATTGTTTCGAAGCTACCTAGTCAACCTTCGCTGGAGGGTTCAAACAGCCTTGCACCAAGCATGGCACCACAAATCAAATCAGTACAGCAGCACCCTGTGACCCCATGGCCAAAACCATCCAAAACATGCTTTGCGTATGCAGAATCCAAATGTAATGCTGCCTTTCTTGCATCTGGGCTTGGACACAGCCAGAACCTAAACCCTACCATCCACCAAGCATGGACGCACATATGAGCCATAGTTTAAACTCCTAGTATCCCTCTTAGTAACCCCTATAGTAGTCCCCTATATAATCTCCTATATAACCCCCCTTTAAGGAGTTTAGACTATAGCTCATATAGACCCAGTTACAAAGGACGGCAGTCTTTGCAGGGCCCCTTTCGCGCTTCCATGCTAGTTCGGGGGAGCCTCAACCCAACCCATGCCCGCTGAACACTCTACACCCCTACGTGAGCGATAATGTTTTGGGATATAATACCCCCAATATTGAAGAATCAACTGGAAAATGAATGGAAGGAGGGAGGGTTGGAGACTTGGAGGGTCACGACCCGTCACGGAGGCTTCGTAAGTGGGTTGGATGACTGAGGCTATCGTATGTGAACCTCCGAGTAAGCCCTGAACCCTGAGCGCTGCCTGCCAATCCTGAAGCCAGTTCTTGGACATCGCCATCTGGGCGGCCTCTCCAGCAAGGGCTGACGCCAGGTTCTCCTCAAGCGGCTGAATGTTATGGTTTAGGGTCTGCAGGCTTTCCAGGGATGACACTTCCCTAAACCAACAGGGATAGAACCCCTTACAACCGCCCTGCGCAAAGAACTGTAGGCCCAGGCTTTTGTGGGAGTTCCGTGCAGGAAGGGTAGCAGTTTTGGAGATGACGGCTTGGTAAACCTCTCCCACTCCCAGCCCGCGGAATAACAAATATTCCCCTAACATAATGAAACTATGTGGGGGGGGTGGGGGCTAGGGTGTGCAGTCGTGTAAACGTTTGGGAAGTTTGGGAACTTATCGCGTGGCTGTGTTGACTTTCATGCAGGTTCATTAAACGAATAGGCTTGGCCGGCTTCATCTAAGTTGTATGAAGAACTAGCTATCATCCAAATGCCGTAATTCTCTGGAAGTGTGCATCAACCCAAAACACGCACCCTGAACCCTGAACCCAAAGCCCTGTATTGCTTTAGAGTTTGAGGGTTAAGCGTTTTTAAGGGCCAGAGCAAAAAACAAATCATCTCCTGCGTGCCCACGAAGATGAAGGGCAGATCCAGCACGCCCCCACTGTGGCAACTGTCTAGGATGCCTTAGAATTGCACGCCCCGATTTCATCCCCTGACGATGAAACATCTCACCCTGCTAATCATGACCACTCCCAATGTAATGCCATCATCCAACGTGGGGCTAGAATTGGTAGTGTCCCAAAATAGGGGTACCCCAGTATAGACACCAAAATATTCTAATCCTTATTCTAGGAACCACCAAAATGCGAAAGCCCTATTTGATTTTTTGGGTGGGTGGTGGGGGGGAGGCCGGGCTTTATTGTTAGGGAGGGGATTAGTAGACACCCGCAACCCCCCACCAAAAGACCTTGTAGTTTTGGGGGCGACACTTAATGTTCGGGGCGAGGCGCTGCATGAAATTCGGGGAGGGATTACAATGAACACTGCAACTGCAACGCATACATACATGAGGGGGTTTCTCGGAACAGGGGGTCTCTTAACTACGTGGCACTTAGGACCCCTACCAAGGATTAACCCTCAGGTACCTATAATGGGAATATGAGGGAATCTTAAAAGGCTAAGGGTCTAAGGTCCAAGCAAGTCCCAAGGAGTTAATTAGGGCTTCACGAGATTATGTGGAGAGCTCCATACCTGGGCTTCTAGCGGGCTAATTTCCAGAAGCTCCTACATACACGCGGGGATCAAGTTATCCAGAACGTTTAGTATTAACAGTGGCGCGTAGTCCAAGATACAACATTCTGGTTGTGAGAGGAAAGGAACAGAATAAGGAACCCGCTGTATGACTGGGGTCTATATGAGCTGTAGTCTAAACTCCCAGTATCCCCCATAGTAACCCGTATAGTGGTCCCCTATATAATCCCCTATCTAACCCCCCTTTCAGGAGTTTAGACTATAGCTCATACAGGGCCTAGGTGGATCCAGAAGCTGCTCAACTTTGGCACCCGCCTTTTTGGGGTTTAGGGTTTAGGGTCGAGCACAGATTGGCTCTCAAGACATGAGGCGCAGCTGCAGGGAAAATGGAGAAGAAAATGGGAACTACTGGAATATATTGGGGCTATATAGGGATAATGGGAAAGAAGATGGAAAATATTGTTACTAGAGTATATTGGGGTTGTATAAGGATAATGGAGAGGAAAATGGAAACTATTATGCAGACCTGGGACAATGCCAGAACATACATGACATTCAATCTTGAAGCGAAGTCGAGTCAATGCAGCCTCTTGCTTCCTTGCGTTCTGGGGGCTGCTGTGGGATCTATTCCTCCACTCGCTGCGGCGTGAGATGCGCATTGAAGAGTCGTCTTTGTAAACACTAAACCCTAAACCCCTAAACCCTATACGAAGCAACTGGCCATGCTTACAACGGTTCACTCCGTGAGGTGAGCTTGAAATCAGATCGGCCCGGTATGTAGATCGGTTAATGCCGAAACTGCGGTTTAGGTTTTAGGGGTTTAGGGTTTCGGGTTTCTGGATCTGGGGCTTAGGCCTTCATGCAAAGCATGCCAAATCGCACTAAGCATCCTGGTGCTAAAGTGCTGAGGAGGGAGAGGGGAGTGGATCCCTATAATGAGACCTCTGACTTGTAACTCTACACCCTACACCCTAAACTGCAACAGTACCTACACCCCCTCCGCCGCTCGAACTTAAGCAGCAGCAAGCCGTAAATAATACCATCTTTTCCATTCTCGTCCCCACCCACCAAGAGCGCCAGCAAGTACGTAAACGACCAAAAGGCAGGTGAGCCGGCAGCCGCTGGGCAAGGGCCGCACCAGCGTCTCGAAGAGCCTGACTTTCTTCTTACCAAGGGGCTGTTTGCAATTCATGGATGTGTAGGGGTTATAGTCCCCCTTGAGTGAATAGAATATGGCTGTGGGTATATTATAAAATCCTCATATACCCCATATTCTATCTACTTAAGGGGGGCAATAGATTTTCTAGCCCCCCTTAAGTTGGTAGACTATGGATTCCCCTCAACCACATAGACATCCCTTTCTACCTGACTCAAAGTGTAGGTTTCAGAGGTTAGCAGGTTTTCTCTTGCAAGAAGACTTTCCGGGCGGTAGGGAAAAAGGCAACACATTATATAAGGAGTTGCTGATTGAAATTTGGGGTTTAGGGTGTAGGGGGTTAACCGTTAACCACCAGTAAGAAGAGGGGGTGACGGGAGGCGTTGTTCGACTTTGCTTCCCTTTGGAGCAACTTTGGAGGTCCTCTTGGCTGGGTTGCTGTTAAGGACTTCCAATTGAGTTGCCATATTACTGTATGGGTACATAAGAACTAATCGGGTTTCCTTATGGTAACTTAATAGAAATCCGCAACCCAGTTGAGATCCAGGATCTAGCGCTCGCGTTCCTGCATTCCTAGGGGTCTATTCCTAGGCCTTCAAAAGCGCTGTGGTTTAGGGTTAGGGTATCATACTACAAGCAAGCTAGCGCAACAAAAAGCAAGGACATGATCAACGGACCGCAACATCCCCAACCATCACGCCACTAGATGAAGATGGAACCCCAGGCTGCGCCCTTTCAAAAGCTATCGTCCTTTCTTCAAGAGCCTGTTCTGGCGTGCAAGTCTGGGGAGGGCAGCTAGCTGACAAAGGCTGTTTAAAGCAGAGGAACTCGGCATCCAGCAGCATGCCAGCCGAGTCCTAAGCTTAGGTTTAGGATTCAGCTGCCTAGGGTTCAAGGCTTTAGCGGTTTTGGGGTTTCAGAAGCTCAGCGGCTTAGCGTGCTCAGGGATTAATTTGGGTTGGCATTCCTGTTTAAGGTTCAGGCATTTGCGGCTTAGGACCGGGGGCCTTCGAGGGCTCGGGCTTCGAAGGGCGCCACCTCTTTCGGCGGCAAAGTCTGATTCCTTACCGAGTGGGCTCCCTCATCGGGCCTGCCTGAGTGCCTTGAATTCAACATCCTTTTGCGCCCCAATACTCTACGGATCCTGGGCATGAAATACCGGCCCAAGCAACCAGTTACAGCCCAAACGTCTCACCCCTAAGTCCTAAACTCGAAGCCCCAAAAACTAAATGCCAAGACCAAAACCCCGAGTCCTAAGCCTTAAAGAAACCTTAATCCCAGACTTGAGGACAGAACTCCTAACCTCCAGGCTTATTGGGAGTTGTAGGGAATGAGGGAATATCTTACTAACAGGAAGTCCCTAAACCCTAAACCCTAAACCCTTCCCTGAACCGGTTCATAACCCTAAACCCTCATGAACCTTGGCTGTCCTGCAAATGGGCAATCAAGGCCTTCTTCGGGATGAGGGTTGAGGGCTTAAGGCTTAGGGTTTGGGGTTTAAGGTTTAGGGTTTAAGGTTTTGGGTTAAAGGATTATTGGGGCCTGCTAGGGCTTCTAGGCCCTGGCTTTCCCAAGGAGTCCAAACCCTAAAACCCTCGAGCCCCCACCCCTCAAACACCTGATGTTTATAGGGATTCTACAGGGATATATATGTATGTATATACACAAACATGTATGCACATATCTATACATATACATGTGTATATATATATATGTATATTGGTTATACAGGGCTTATACACAGGGAACGGAAAAGAAAATGGAAACTATAATTTAGGGCTTGAATCCTAAATTCGCCCAGGAGTCCATGTCCACTGGGCAAAGGGTCTCGTGCCACTCGCTTCGGCCATCCGTTCGTGGCATGCGGCCACCATGGCCTGAGTAGTGGAACCTGACAGTTTAGGGTTTAGGATTAGGAACTGGGGGGCCGATGATGTAGGGTGGAGGATTTGAAGGTTATATATGATTGGCCTGTGGGATTGTACAGGGTTTAGGGATATTGCCCCAAATAACGCAGAATTACAAGAAGATGAAAAGCGGGGATGATAAAGGAGTTTATGCTATCCGTAGCAGTACTACAATTATGAGCAACCTTTAGATATGCCTCGCTGTCACTTGCAGCTTTCCCTTAGTAGGTGGGGGCGGGCTTAAGGTTTAGCGTTTGTTTTGCCTCCACGGTGCTTCAGGTTAGGGTCTCTTGTAAGTTTAAGGACCCACCTTTTACCTCCCCCTTGGCTTCTCTCCCTTCACTCGGTTATCGAAGGCAAACTATTGGAACGAAGGCGTGCTAGGGGAAGTCGTAAGTTTGGGTTAAGGTTACAGCTTGAGTAGGGACTAAGCTGGCTGCACGAAAGCTGTAGCAGAACGTTTGTACAGACGGAAGACCTAAGTCTCCACGTAGACGCAACCCCTGCATGTAACTGGGTTGCTGTTAAAGAACTGAAGAAATGGCCAAGATGGGAACCCAGTCGCTCACAATATCCCTTAGCGACACAACTTAACCTGAGTTCCTTCTGAGCGGTGAAGACTCTCCGTAAACCCAACAGAGCAGCCCCAACGATCGCATGAAGAGTGACTATTGGGCTAGCCTTCATAAACTATTTCTAGGTATTTAGTAAGATTCAACAGCGCATACCACACCATGGCGCATCTTTGCCTTCATCAACGGCCAAGAAAGAGAAGGCAAGGCAGAGAAGCGCCAATGCCATTCTCGAAATGTTACTAGCAGGTCTTTGTGTAAAGCCCTGTGCACTACAAAGGAAGTTGCCATGAATTTCGGACAAAATAATTTTCGAGAATGAGCGTTGCGCGCATGCACCCCTTGCACATCAGGCGGACTATGCCTGACCAGAACAAATGACCAAACAACAGCTCTAAGTTTGAAAATGCACCCCCCAAGTTTCTACCTAGACCCTCCAATGTAGTACCTTTTTGGTAGTCCTAATAAGAGTCCTAACCAAAAAACCATACCAAACCCAAAAAGGAACTACATTGGAGGGTCTAGGTAGTGTTTAGCAAGGAACGGAGGAGCGGAATCCTGGTGCAGTGCCGATGTGATCATCACTATGACCCACTCTGCCTTCGCCTATGAACCACCGCCGAAAACCCGAAAAATTCTATGTCATGCTCTAACTTCTTCTCCGTTACCTCGATGCCCCGCAGGATATAGGTCTCAATTCCTTTGCCATTGAACTACACCCTTAATATCATTCAGTAGTTTCCATAATGTAGTTTCCATTTTTTCCATTATTACACCTTTGATAATGTTTAGTTGTTTCCACTTTGTTTTCCTTTAGTGTACCCTTGATCATGTTTAGTGGTTTCGATTTTGCTGTCCATTGTTACAAAATATGCGCTAAAGTCTAAACTTCAAGTATCCCCCTTCCTACACCCTATAATAGGAACCCCATAGTAGGAACCCTATATAGTCCACTTTATAAGAGCCTTTCAGGAGTTAAGACTACAGCGCAAATAAGTAGCCGTCAGGCAAGGAGCAGGAGCGAGTCGCCAGGTTTTGCATCCTGGACTAGCCACGCGATGCCCTCTCTCATGTTTGCCTTAGCAAGGTTGTTCTTTGAGAGGGTCCTGCTCCTGGGAACCTGCTAGATACCTGTCATGAAGGTCAGAATGGTTTGGGAAGGGTACTATGGAAATTATACTGATGCTTGCTCAGATTGCTGCCTCCCTCTCTAGGCTCGTCAAGGGAATGGAAGGCGTGCTGTGAACCCATAATGTAGCAACATCATAGGATAGAGCTACCTTTTATTGCTTACAAATATCCAAGAGAGAGCAGCTGTCACATCTTTGTCAGGGAAGTTGAGGTGTAGGGTTAAGGTTTTGGGGGTCTTGAGCATCAAGGAGTCAAGGAGCTGCATGGTTCCAAGGCTATGCAAGCTGATGGGAATGACGGACTTGGCATGCTGCATGCGAAGATCGATTTCTCTTTCTCATAAATACATCCCCTTGAGCGCCCTAACAACAAAAACCACTGAATTACTGATATGGTCCCAGTACCTATTGGGAAGGATATTTACCATTAGATTGGTGGGGCAGGTGACAACTAGGTGGGGAGGGGATTGCTTGACCTGGCTGCGAGAGTCCGCGCTCAAAATGACCAAGAAGTACCAAAGAAATGCGGTCGCAGGGGCTCAATACGCTTGCTTTTCAACCCGCTGTGCTGAAATGCAAGTACGGTACATCCCGGAATCCAGGTCATTGCTCATAGCCAGCATGCTTTAGTTTTAGGGCGGCTGGTTTTTGGGCGTAGGCTCTATCGGGCTTCTCCGTGCAGGACATGAAGGCTTTGGTGCTTCTGAGGGGTGCGGATACTTGTGAGGCTGCAGACGGGAGTCCGGATGATGCAGGATTTGTTGAGCTTTGGCAGCTGTGGCTTTGCAGGGCACAACGCCTCTATGTGCAGCTGAGAAGGTTCATTGACGAGGCGAATTCCGATCAAGTATGCTCTACAGCTAGGACACCGAAGCAATGCAGGGGCCCAGGAATGCACCCGAGCCCTATCGAGCCCTGGACACCTCCGAATCACTACAAATGGCTGTTATGGTTCTGAGGATTCTGTGGGGTACATCTTTCATGAACTGTCATCTAGCAGCGCCAGTGTAGTTTGCTTGCGCAATGAGAGGTTGAACGGGTAACAAGGATCAAAGAGCCCCAGACACGACGCGCCTCCAACCCTAAGGCTCAACACACGAATTGGGTCCTCTTATACTACCAAGAAAAGTAAAAATAGAAAAAGTAATAACAGTAATAATAGTATAATAGTATAATAGTATGATAGTATAATAGTATGATAGTATAATAGTAATAGCAATAATGATAACAACAAATTGCTACCAGGCGGCAAGAGTGGGATGGAGCTGCTGCGGCCACTGCGGTGTGTCCACCAGCACCTGGGTGACAAGCAGAAGAGTACGTTGAGCCACCGTCGCCAGCATGGCACAAAAGGATCGTACAATCCATGCAGAAGTCCTCCCGCTTGGTTGGAGGGTAGATTGGGAAGTTGTCGGGGAACCCGTAGTTTAAGCGTGTGTTTCAGTCGTGACGTGTCATGCAACAAGGGTTGATACATGAACTTGAGGAGAAATCCTGGAGGCCGGCCCATATTAACACCCCAATCAAAGCCTGAATCATCAACTCAAGACGCTCGCTTCCTGAAACTCAGCAAGAAGCTGGCAACCCTCAACCCATACATGCCGTAAACCTCTGAGAAAACAGCCCACACCTGAAAGTCATTGAAACCATGGACCCTAACTAAACCGTAAACCATAGATCCCGACCTAAAAATCAAAAACCCAGACACTCGCCGACTCTCCTCGTCGCTGGGAAACCCAAGCTTGTCCAAAAGTGGCAGCATGCGCTGGACATCGCTGACGCAGCCGTGAAGCTCATTCCTTTCGCTAGTTGGAAGCTAGGCTTATGTATAGGATTTATATCGGCATCGTATAGGGATCATATTTATATAGGTTTACATAGGGGCTCTACGGGGATAATAGAGGTGTCAGTGGGTGGTATTCGTACATTGAGACCGATTTTCCTAATTTGAGATGCTTTGTTCCAGCTTGAACTTCAGCTGCCTTCCAGGACCTAAGATATTCCCGTGTGGCATTTCTACCCTGCACATCCCTTGTGAGCAGGCCACGCGCCATTTCGGGGTCCAAGCCTGAAGCTCTGAAGCCTATAACTTAGGTGAACCTCCCACCCAGTAATAGTGAGTATAAAGGAGAATAATGATTATATTAGGGTCCTCTTAGATTCCTAACATACCACCATTACAGGGTGGGGGGTCCCCCTAACCCATAACCTTGATTTCTTACCCGGAAGTAGAAAGGAAAAGGAACGACTCAAACGCCAAAACGGCACCAGGGCTCAGCAGTTCCCACCACCTGGACCCCCGTATTCTAGTTCCTTTTTGGGTTTGTTACTCTGCGAAGGCCACATAAGTACATCCTTTGCTTTGGTATAAGGAACCCTTTTACAGTGCTTTCCTGTTTTTGAGCTTTAAAAGGCAAAGCAAGTTTCAAAACAACCTAGCCAAAGTTGTTCTCAATATCATCCATAGAATCTGTGAGCCAAAGTAGTTGATGCCTCAGAAGATGGCAGATCACGAGGCATAGAGTATATATTGAGGTTATATATGGATTGCAGAGTATATATTGGGGTTATATAGAGATTATAGAGTATATATTCGGGTTATATTGGGATAATGGAAAATCAAATGGAGACTACTAATGGGTTATGACCTTTTCTCTGATTTCTCAGCTGCCCTCGGTGTTTTGTTGTTGCTATTTGGCCCTAGCACCATGCAGTAGAGGATTGTGAACCCCCCTAAACCCTAAACCCCTAAACCCAAAAACCCCTAAACCCTAAACCCTAAATCCACCGACAAAGCAAAGCCTGAAAGGCTCGCTTAGGGTGCTGCGGGAGGGTTCGCCAGCGGAGGAAGTCACAGCTGATCTGCATAGTAATAATAAGAATAGTAGTAGTAATAATAATAGTAATAAGAATAATCATAATAAAAGGAATAGTAATAGTAATAATAGTAATAGTAGCAGTTTGTCATGATTCTGGTACTTGGGGGTTTCTCTAAATTAGGGGTACCTCTTTGGAGGTCCCTATAATAAGGACTATAGTATATTGGGGTCTATATTGGGGTCCTCTAATTTTGGGAAATTACGACTTTTTGCCAGTGCGCCAATAGGGGCCGTGATTCAATCAAATGGAGCCCCAATGGCACAGGCGAGCTGCCAACCAGGAGGCTCCTTCGACGACCCGTCAGAGCCACCTGAACGATGATCTGCTCTCGCATAGTCATGATTCACAACAAGAGACCTTCCCCACGCAACGGGTGACCACCTTCAGAAAAAGCCTGGGTAGTATTCAGGGATGCTGCTGATGTTGAAGCAGCACCACCGTCCAATGCACACCCAAAAGAAAGAACAACGCCACAAAAACCTAAAAAAACAAGCCCTAAACCCCAACCTGCCTGGCTTGGGGCTGTAGGAACCGGGCCAATGGACCCTGTCAGCATAGGCTTGGGCGGCGCAGGGGCTCCACCGCAGCAGAATTGCACGGCATGGCTTAGCAGCTCCATCGTGTGCTGGATGCAGTGAATCAGGGAAATATGTGTTGTATGTAACTGGGGCCGGGGGCCGTATTAGCGGAGGAAGAGATTTTCCAAACAGTTTGAGGGTTAGGAGACTGTTTCTTTCAGGCGCTGCTTGTACATGAAAACATGCTAGAAATATCCGGAAGGGCTTCAAGTTTGCCACTGACGCGTTGGAAGCCCGTCTTTTCGAGCAAGGGTATCGATGAGAGATGGAGGGGTTTTGGGCCGCCTGAAGTCAATTTCTGGGATTTAGGGTTTAGGGTTTAGGGGTTTAGGGGTTTAGGGTTTAGGGTTTAGGGTAGCACTCTGGCTTTCAAAGGGCACCTCTAAGGTCAAGAAGGCTGAACTCTAACATGTGAGCTATACTCTAAACTCCTAGTATCCCCCTTGATAGCCCCTATAGCAGTCCCCTATAGAATCCCCTTTTTCCCCCCTCTTAAGGAGTTTAGACTATAATTCATGTGGCCAAGTTGTGCTAAGTTCGCATCCCCCATAGCTGCTCAACATGCGACTTACACAGCGAGGGGTCAGCGCCACCACTGCGCTGGCATAAGCAAGCTGATTGCGCCACCAAAGCAAGTTTTCCTTGAACCTTGATAGTCAGCCGATAATCAGCCCCTACAAAACCCTAATTTCTATTTCGTTGTCATTTTCCAACTGATTGTCCAATCAATGTTCTATTTAATGCTCAAGTATTGGGGTACTAACCCTTAACCCTATGATCCCTGCAATACTTATCTAGCCCCAGTTTACATCTGTTGTTCCACTTCTTCTCCATTTCCGCTGCTCGACCCTACGAAATTTTTCTGCCTGGTTCAGTCAGTTAGTCGGTCAGTCAGCGGCACAGCTTTCTTCTTTATCCCCCCCAATATGAATGAAGCAGCACCCGCACCCCAAGAGGAACTATGCCCTACAGCGCGCAACAACTGTCCATGAGCAAAAGAACACTTTAAGCATTTTACAGTACTATCATTATTAGACTTCAGGGTTATGCAGGATCTTGTCACGCACGACACGAATTGAGGATACACTGAATCCCCCTAAACCCTGCGTTTTTGAAAAGACTGTTTTAAGGGATCCTGTCATTGTGTGTACATAGGGATCTCAACTGTGCAACATGACATGATCCCGAGAAGAACCCCAACGCCCTTGAATGAATGTGTCCTGGAATCGCAAGAAACCTTGTTTGCGAAGACTGCTAGGTGTTTGAGGCTTACCTGAAATAGCGCCCACAGCCTATCGCATAGCCAGTATGTAGAATTTAACCCATTTTGCCCATGCTCAACAAACACCCTAATACAGCTCCACTCCTGCCCCTCCCGCCCCCCCCCAGTCAGCTTCCTGAAGAATCTTTGTGGCTTCGTCGTACTAGTCTCGACACACGGCAGCTCCCAGACTGCTAAAATCTGAAGCAGGTTCAAACGGATACCAAGAATATCCGTGACGAAGCTTGGTATAAGAAAAAAACCCTACACCCTAAACAGCTAAACCCTATACCCTCAGCCCCAAAAACCCTAAACCCCTAAACCTTAAACCCTTGACTTCCAGGGGCTGTGCCCCACATGGTGGATGCAGTAGGACAACAACATGTGCTGCTGGAGGAGGTCAAACCTCCACTCGGCACTACCCGCCCGAAATTGGGCTTTCCCAGAATTAGGGGTCCCTTCAAAAGGGTTTAAAACGGTTATATGGGGGTTATATGAGGACATTATATGACTTTATAAGGCTTAGGGATTCAAGTTTAGGGTTTCCCAAGATTGGGGGGTGCCTCTTTGGGGGTCCCCATAATAAGGATTATACAAATCTGGGGTCTATATTTGGGGTCTCCTGATTTCAGGGAAACTACCAAATAGATTTAGGATTGGGGCTGCTCACTTCTCCCACGTTGCGTGAGGTTGGGTTGGGGAGTTCTTATGTCTTGGGGTTTAGGGTTTAGGGTTTAGGGCTTCCAAAGCCCCGATGAATAAGTCCATCTTCATGTGATGGTAGGAGACTGGGAATGCTCAACAACACGCCCGTGCGACAAGAAGTTCTAAGTCGTAATCCCAATTCCCCACCCACGAATAACGGCTACAATGGTTAAGGCAACCATGCTAGGACCAAAACTTTGCAGCTATACCATTATCTGCTCAGGTTTCGGGTGACCCTGTTGGGGTCGATTGGAGGTACCCCGTACTGGAAGTATGTAGGGAAAGCAGGACCGCAATATTGGCAATTCTCACTCAAAACTCTACTCTTTTCCATTTGGGTTCTCCATTGCCACTATAATGATATCGGCAGTTATTTGCGCAACTACTTTAGCGTTTTCCGCGGCCCTAACCCCTAACGGCCCTAAACCCGGTAGGGGTTAAAAATCCCTAGCCTTTGGGGAAGCTTAGTCACCCACTCGAGCGCTTCCCGCGGGTCTGCTCGGCTGTACTCCTTGAGTCTGTGCAACATGGAAAGCCTAAACCCTACACTGTGTGTTAGCGCTTTTGGGACTAGGGTGATGGTTGATTATACTGTCGGGTTTTGCTGTCGCATTGAAGATATATCAAACAGTGGCCCGAGCACAAGGGATGTTCGTGCTCTCCGAGGAGGTTCTATTGGCCCTAATAAGTTTGTAGGGAGTTGGCGGATTTGATCGGAGTTCACCAAATTGTCCTGGGGAAACTCGAGCTTGTTCAAGCTCTCTGGAGAAGGAGAGTGCATGCACACATGGAACCTAAACTGGTTCATGTTCTTCGGCTTGCCACTGGGTTTCTCAGAATGGTTTGAGTCCAGGTTTGAGGTCGAGGGGGTCAACAGTCAAGCCACGTTACTCATCACGCCTGCATCATGTGGCTAGCTATGTTTCCAAAAGCCCAAGTACGTCCAAAACGAACTCAGCTGCCTCCTACGAGGGCCCACACGGGTGCTTCCCGTGTCGAAACATGAGAAGAAATCTCTGCTTTGCGGAAATTCCTATGCTCAGGATTTAAGTACAGCCTTTGGGGGTATATACGGTGAGGGTTCAGGTTGGGGCAACACCGCAACACCGACATAGCAGACACGTAGACTTAGAAAGCATGGAACGGCTGCAGCTTTTGCCAAGACTGCGGCGTTCGTGGAGGAGTTGTAGAAGAACCGGTCCTCTCAAGTTCATCACTTCCCCCCCATAAAATCATAGCACCTGATAATCAACGACCCCAATATACTACCACTCTACGTTGGGGGCATAATTGCTCCTTGTTTAGGGTGTTTTTCGGGGGCAGGGAGGTTTATCACTG